AACACTTAATAAGCTGCTCTTCACCCATGTCCAGAGGGACCAGCGTCTATTAAAAAGGCACAGCAGAGACCATTCGGGGCTCAGAAACTTCTCTAGGCATCCCCCTTTCAACCATCATTTCAAACATCCTCCCTCATCCTGTGCTGACACCTTCTACTCCTCCACAACTTTTATTTGGATTAGTCACCTGCCTTCTGGTTTCACTTCTCTGTCAATGTACAGCCTCCAACACTGCCATGTGGCAACCCTGGGCAGAGGAAGCCTCGGCCCAAACCCGACCTCAGGTCTGGGATCCCAGCAACAGCTCAGGGTCCAGGGGCAGCTTCTGGGATTGGTTGTCACACACCCAGTAGTCTTCAGAAAGCCAGTGAAGCTGTCTGCTGCTCTGGGGCAGCACCCAAGTGTTCCTGTCTCCATGGCCACCACATTCTCTCTTCGGCTCCCATGTCTACCTCTCCACAACACACTCAATTCCTGCCATGCCCAGCTCAAATGGCATCTTCTCCCTGAAGCCTGTCCTAATTTTCCTACCCAAAACAAATACAATTGCCTTCTCTTCTCAATCATCTGGTCATGTTCACCCTTTTTAAAAATAAGTATCATGTTATGCTTTGTATTACATGGTATCAGTTTCTCTCTTTATGCCTCAGCCAACTGTATCACTTACTAGCTGTGCGGTCTCAGATAAATCAATCCTCTATACTATTTCTTTATCAATAAACTAGAGATAATGGTGCGTATCTCATAGCTGTGTATAGAAGATAAAGCCAGATAAAATGTACACGTGGCTAAAACAGTGCCTGTGCAAGCAAATGCTACCTATCATTCATGTTTTACCTCCCTCAGGACTTAGAAAAGCCTTACATGTTAATCGCTCAAAAAAATTAGCCGAATGTTAATTTAGTCATCCAAAATTCCAATTACTAGAGACCTGGCAGAAAAGAAACAAGCATTTCTTGAGGACTTACCGAGTATACCAAGCAATATATAAAGCATCTTACACAGGAGAATTTGTAATTCTCACATCTCCTCGCACTTGGTATCATTCCTGTTTTACAGTTGAAGACTTACAGATTAGGTACTTAGCCTCAAGTTGTATAACTCATCATATAAAAAATCTGTGCTCTTTTCACCCAGCCCACTACCTCCATAATACGGAATTGGCCTTACTCACAGGCTAGACAGCAACATAGCCTGGGGGACACAATAGGGAATAATACTTCAGCAAGTTCGCAGGCCAGAGGACAATATGCTGAGGCTTTTATTTTTATTTATTTTTTTGAGATGGAGTCTCACTCTGTTGCCCAGGCTGGAGTACAGCAGCTCAATCTCGGCTCACTGCAAAACCTCCACCTCCCAGGTTCAAGCAATTCTCCTGCCTCAGCCTCGCAAGGCTGGGATTACAGGCACCTGCCACCACACCACTAGACCTGGCTAGTTTTTGTATTTTTTAGTAGAGATGGGGTTTCGCCATGTTGGCCAGGTTGGTCTTGAACTCCAGACCTCAGGTGATCCACCTGCCTCAGTCTCCCAAAGTGCTGGGATTACAGGTGTGAGCCACTGCGTCCAGCTGAAGCTTTTATTTTTTTTAAACCAATGACAACACTGGCTCACAGAGAAGAATGACATAGAAATCAGAAGTTTATGGATTTAGTGGTATTGTGTCCACTTATCTTGAAAGACCTGACCCTGATGGATAGAAGGACCAAAAGAAGGAAAGGTCCATGCTGCTGGGTGTGCAAAAAAAAGAAAAAAAAAAAAAAGGAGGAAGAGAGGGAGAAAAGTAAAGTAGAAGGGAGGAGAGAAGGAGAAAAAGGGAAAACTCCAAGCCACCTGTCTTGGCCAGGAAACTCCCTGAGGTTCACAACCTGAAAGTGTCCTATCACTTTCCCCAGCATGTCTCATTTTGTTTATTTTCTTAAATCATACCAGAAAATTTAATTTCTCCCTTTTCATGTTTTTTATTCTGAAAAGTACATGAACAATTCCAGCGGGGTAATTCTGACATCCAAAAAACCTCATTTTTTTCTTCCTAACTGGCTCAGACAGATAAAAGGAAAGGAACTGAATTATCCTAATAATTTCCCTAAGTCTCCCCCGCCTACATTATGCTCATCCAGTTTCCTTGCAAATTACCCAGGTGAACCATCTGTGCTTGTGACTTTTTAAAATTCTTCACACTGAAGTTCTTTCATTTATTAATGGAAAAAAAAATTTCTTCTCAAAATTCCTCCATGTACATCACAGGCAAAGCAGGATTTGGTGAACCCTAACATCCTTAGGTAAAGCAACATTAAATCCAAAATACACATAAACTTAATAGATCTTTTTCCATCGGCCAATTTTACAATAATGCTAATTGCAATTTTAAAGGATGACAACATCTTCTGGGTGAGCCACAGAAATAATATATTTAGTCTACAAATTCATGGAATAGTGAACAACATGCCAAATGCATTCCACTTCCATAGTCTTATGATTCTTTAAGCAAGACAGGCATTTTGAGAGCTTTAAAAATAATGATGAAGGGTTGGGGGGGGGCATAAGTTTTTTTTAAATGATGGAATTTAGGTAATGCTCTTTGAATAACTGTTACTCCAAATGGCAAGTAGAAAGTCACATGAGCATGAATCTAAGACAAAAGAACATCTATACAAAAAGTAATTTCCCACTTATTTTAAATCTCCCTTGAAAAGGGGAGAGGGGGAAGAGGGGAGAATTAAAGCCTGACTTAAATAAAAACATACTTGTTAACAGGAAAAGAAAAAGAAAGAAGACAATGTCTGAAATGTGGAAGATGTCCAGAGGCATGGAAGTCTGCCCTGATGTGCAGGACTCATCTAAGCCAGGACCTCACAGGCTCTCTGAATACATGTTATCTTCGGAAATGAGCAGGAGAAGTAGAAACGAACTACCAGAGCTATAGATGGTTAAGCAGCAGCCTTGGATTTCATTCTAGGTTTGGCAAACACGGAAATAAAGAACTGGCAATGACAAGACTGCCCACTGTATTAGATCAAGAAATTACGAGTCAGTTCTCTAAATTTAGTAGCTAGACTCATTCCTGTTTGACTTTTCAAGTCAGTTCAGCCCAAATAGCAAGTATACTATATGACTTCTAAGGCAGAAAACGGAAAACTAATTCCCTCCCATGAAAATCAGAATTCTATCCAGCCAAGACCTTCTAGTTCCCCCAATGTGGAAACACTTAGCAATGACTGTTCAAATGCTTAGCTCAGTTCTAAGACACTAAAAGAAAGGAGAGGGGAGGGATGCGGGTGCAGGAGTTCATTTTTGCAGAAATGCCATGATTAAACAACAAGGCTTACATTTACAGAACCACATTAAAGACTTCCCATTCACTCTCTGTAAGTGACAAATACGCTTAAGCAACGACTTTCTGACTCTGTCGAAAGACAGCAGCTCTTAAGAATTATTTTAAAAACAAAACAAAAGATTCCACATGACTGTTTTGCCTTCCCCCTCCCCCCACACACACACTTCCCAACTTCATTTATCCTATTCATCTCACAGTTGGGCCTTTGGTTGAAGCATATTTGAAAGAGGAGGATAAAGCCTGAGCCAATTATCCAAAGAACAAACTGTCTTCCGTTAAAGGCTTATAAAAATAAATTTGGCTTACAAAAAGAAATTCAAGGAGATTTCCAAACCATCCTCTCAATTTCATGTGAGCCTGTTCATTTTTTTAGTCATTCCTATTTTTCTCCAAATTCATATTGGGTGGGGAAGTTGAACAAAAATTCTAAGTGCACCACTGTAGTCTAGCTAAACAAAAACATAGGTTTCAAATTTCAAATCACATCACAACTAATTTAACTTTTAATTTTAAGGGACTGGTACAGATAGTAGCTGAGAACCATTGTGGAGACACAAAATGGGAACAAGTTTCCTAAAAAAGCTAACAGGCCATCTGGGGCATAATCTAGCAACGAATCTCATCTAAACTCAATGTCCCTTGGAATGAAGATTTTCCTCTTCGGATTAAGACATTTAGTTCTATCTCTTGCCTAGAACTTGATGGCAAGCTGTACTTTCTGTAATCTGTACCCTAAGCACTACTCATCACTTTAACTCTTGTGTGGGGTTTGCCACCTCATGTCCCACAGCACCATGGCAACCCAGTTGAACATACAGCCATTTCCAATTCTGAAAGAACACTCTCACTGGAAATACAGGCTGACCGGAGCAGGACTTCTGCAGCAGGACTATCTACTGTGAACCAAAGAATTACAAAGAAACGTTAACAGATTTTTTTTAATTTACAGCTTTGTGGAAAAATGAGTTAAGGCAAATCCATCCTTGACACTCTAACAGCATTCCTGGTTCAGCAGGAATAACTGTTAGTGCTGTCAGAAAATAAAAGCATGCTATCTATTCTTTAGAGTCAACTGAATTGGGAGCAGACAAATTTTTCAGTCTCAGGAGCAAGAAAGCCATTCCTGCAAATTTGGTTTTGTAATTTTCAGCAGATCAGGGTTATGCTTATCCTCAAATTACATTTTAGGTCATTTCAACAACCTAAAAGACTAGAAATAAAAGATTATTCTTGTCCAATCTTATATGGTAACCTGTGATAAGCAAGTCATTTTACTTATCACAAATTTGAGTATATCTTCCAAAGACCAAAAAAAAAAAAAAAAAAAAAAAACCAACAGTTAATGTTGTGTAATATAAACTATTAATTGCACATTTCTTTCCTAGTGTGGGAGATCAAGTTGTCATTCTTCATTTAACAACAACAAAAAAAAAGGTTGGGCGTGGTGGCTCACGCCTGTAATCCCAGCACTTTGGGAAGCCGAGGCAGGTGGATCACGAGGTCAGGAAATAGAGACCATCCTGGCTAACCCGGTGAAACCCCATCTCTACTAAAAATACAAAAAAATTATCCGGGCATGGTGGCGGGTGCCTGTAGTCCCAGCTACTTGGGAGGCTGAGGCAGGACAATGGTGTGAACCTGGGAGGTGGACCTTGCAGTGAGCCGAGATCGGGCCATCGCACTCCAGCCTGGGTGACATAGCAAGGCTCTGTTTGAAAAAAAACCTCAAACTTTTTTTTCAGAGAACAACTCTTTCCACATGTATCTATTAATATTATGCCTATAAGAGTTCTGAATTTCCTGTGAATGCCAGCTCACATGGAAACAGATGAGCCAAGAAGAACTAAGAGGAACTCATGTCACAGGTTGGTACCATACTTCTTGAACATAAATGAAAACTGGGAAAATTATCATGCTGTAAATCTAGGATCAAAGGTACCCAAAGCACAGTTAATGAACCCAGTACTAACCAGGAGGATTCAAAAACAACCCACAATTGGTTTGCTGCTTGCAAAAAAATTAAATTTAGACTTCCAAATCACACTATACACAAATAAATTCCACATGAATAAAGGCGAATTCTTTAAAAAACATGTCTCTAAAGCTAAAATTAAGTCGTGTATTTTTGGATATGATCGTTAGTAAGAACATTCTAACTTTCAGAATCATGACAAAAATGGCCAGAAATTTAAAATTTGATGTTGTAAGAAATTTAAACTTCTGTAGGCCTAAAAAATTTATCTAAAAAAGGAAGTGAGGAAAATAGTCAAAACAGATTAAATGAGTTATCATCTATTACAAGGGTCAGCAAACTATGGCCCACTAATCAAATCCAGCCCACCGCCTGTTCTTCTACAGCCCGTGAGCTAAGAATGGTTTTTACATTTTTAAATGGTTGAAGAAAATAAAGAGGAATGATACTCCAGGGCATATAAAAACTATATAATATTTACATCTCAGTGTCCACATGGGAGCACAGCCATCCTCATTAGTTGTCTATTGTCTAAGACTGCTTTCACCCTACAGAAGCTGTGTGGCTCACAAAGCCTGAAATGTCTATTAGCTGGTCCTTTATAGAAAAAGTTAGCTAACCCCTGACCTATCACACAAAGAGCTCATGCATATGAAAAACAGTAAGACCCAATAAATAAACAGGCAAAGGAGATTTTTTTAAAGAAAAAGAAAAATACAAGAAAAAATAGAAAATGTTCACTTTCACCGCCAAATGGAAAGACTCTCTTTGGCCTATCAGATTAGGAAAGATCTGTGGAAAAGTCAACACACATTGGACAGTCAAACAAGAGCTAAGAAGCTGCAGGTGGCACTCTAAATACGTCTGACCCTTTTAGAATGCAATGCGGCAAAAAGAAACGAGTCTTAGAAAATGTCTATAACTCTCTTCTCACCTATCCTATGGACATAATCTCAAATATAGGCAAGTTTATAAACAAAGATCTTTATTATGGTATCTTTAATACAATGAAAAACCAGTAGCAATTTCATAGATTTCCCTCTGTTTTGAGAATCACGGGTGTTGTTTCTAAGTATTAATGTATCTGAAATTAAGACGTTATCTTGTAATCACGTACATTTAATGCGCTATGTGTTTCCTCATGTGAAAGTGTTGACACCACAGTGTCTTACCTGCACTTTTAATCAACAGTGTCTTACATGTACTACACAGAGGCAACTCACATAGTTCCAATGAAGACATCTGATCGAAGGACTATTTACAAAGACGAGGGAAGGGTGAAGAGTACCACAGGGGCATTCAGGTAGAAAGTGACTTGAAGCATCAAGGAGAGGAAAGTAACCTGCAGGAGGCCTGAAAGAGGACCCACCAGGCAAGAGTGGTTTCTTGGTGGGACACAGCCACTGACAAAACTGCAGCAGACAGCAGAGATGTGGCGACTGGCAGCTCTCTCCCCTCCCACTCTTAGTTCTCCTCAAGTTCCCCCTTGGCCAATCCAGTTAGAAGCCAGAGGGCAAGGAAGCCTGGAGGATGCATCTTTCAGTCAGCACCACTGCCGGCTCCCAAAAGGAGGGCAGACAATAGGTGAGAGGGGGTGTTACGGTTTGAATATGTCCCTTCCAAAATTTAGGTGTTGCCAAAGTGATGGTATTTACAAGTGGAGCCTTTAAAGGTGATTAAGCCATGATGGCTTCTCCCTGTCAATGGGATTAGGGCTCTTATAAAAGAGGCTTCACTCCACATTTGGACGACTTGCCCTTATGCCTTCTGCCAGATAAGGATGCGGCAAGAGGGCCCTCACCAGACCAAATGCTGGCACCTCGATCGTGGACGTCCCACTCACCTCCAGAACAGTGAGAAATAAAATTCTGTTCCTTATAAATTACCCAGTCTCAAGTATTCTGTCACTGCAGCACAAAACAGACTGAAACAGGAGGAAAAAAGGAATAACCATCTCAGTCATTCTCCAAATCACCCCACAGAAAAGATGAAAAATGCATTCCCACTGTGGTGAGTGGGGGGAGAGAAAAGTCAATCTCAAAGTCTTAATTTCACCAAAATCATCCACTAAATTAGGATCCAAGTGGTTTTGGTCACCTCAAACAGAATTCTGACAAAGGAAGATGAGAAAACGGGGTTTGAAAAGCCAAACATTTTAAATTTATAAAAGAAACCACTTTCCACAATGTTTAGGTACAACGAAGATATTAGGAAAATAGCTACCATGTTGGGTAGGTGAACCTCATTTAAACAATATGAAAATAGCACAAAAATTTGAAATTAAAGAATGAATTATTGTAAAGAGCAAGGAGGGTGGCAATCTTGCAAATGAATCAAGGGGTTGGCAGGGTTAAGGATGCGAATAGATCCTAAGGTAGATGTTTTCGAGACAATATGGGTTTGAAAAAAAAAAAAAATCAATTTCTAGCTCCCAGTCTTCTGTATCTTTTAATTCACTGTTTCTGGTTAGAGTTTGGTAAGGGCTCTAGCCAGCATTATTTCGTTAAGAACATAAAGAGTTTAGGAGTCTAGAAAAAGGCCAATTTTAAGGGCTCAAAGAGCAACATTATTATTTAATGAATAATGTTACCTTCAGGAAATCTGATACCATAGTTCCAGTAACTGTCCTTGCTTCAAGTCACTATATTCAAAACCCCTATCAGGAAATAAGGGAAAGTCAGTGTCTCATTCAGAACAAAAACTAACTCTGTCTAACTACAGTAAGACAAATTCTTGGTACCATCCAAGAGAGTCAACTTGCCACCCCTGGCACACAGCTCTACTCCTATCACATGCCCTCCTGCATGCTGCCTTTCCTTTCTCCATCCCAATCACACCTCCCAGCCAGATACACAAGACACATTTGCTGGTGAACTCCACTCCTCCCAGCTCTCTATGCATTTCCACTCAACTACCTCTACTGCCTTCAGTTACGCTTTACTTATTCAGTTCCTTTGCCACTGTTTTCTGAAAAACTGTCTTTTATCTGTGTTTGTTGTGAAACCTCAATCTGTCAGAAACTCCCAGAAGGTCATTACCAGTTGCCAGGGTGTTTATTTGGCATTCTCTAAGTCATCCTTTGAGGATTCAAAGTGAAGTCACCCAAAAGGCATATGTGACTGAATCAAATTTAAGATACTAACTTCCACCTCTATAATCAATTCACCAAGACACAGTGCTATGACTTAAGGTGGAAGTTTGCAAAGCTATGCTTTAGCTAAAAGTTGCAACAACAGATGGTAATTGAAGAAATAAAACACAACAAAGGTATGGTTACTATTGTAACCACAATAGTGAGGTATTTATTCATGCCTTAGCACAGCCAAGAAAGGCCAGTACCTTTCAAACTAGGGTGTGAAGGTTGCCAATATCCTATCTGCCTCTGTCTCTTAGAAGTTGTGTATTTTCATAACTTAACAGAACAATTACCTTAATCTTTACAATTTGGCATCACAAATGAGGAAATAAATCAGTCCTTATTTCTTTTTTTGCTAAGCAAATCGCTTTAATGTGTAACAGTAGGCCAACTGGGGAAGACAAGACCCCAAACCCCAGCCTTTCTCCTGATGCCCTGGGACCTGTGTGCTGGGCCAGTCCCATGCCTGCCCCAATCCCTGAGGCCCACAAGGGCCAGAGAAGAGTGGGAAAAAAAGTTGGATGGTTGCAGCTCAGCCCCAAGAGTTCAAGGAGGTAAAAACAGGGGCCAGTTGAATTTGGCCTTGGAAAAATCCATCTCCAGATGCTGATCCATGAACTTCTTCAGAATCTCCTGTTTCTTCTGTTCGTCGGAGGTTGACATCCCCATGGACTTCTGTCTCTGGTCATACATCATCATCCTTTCCACCATGCTGCGAGTCTCACTGTCTAGGTCTGAGAGCTTGGAATTCTCAGGGTTAATATTCTTGGTATTGATCTCAAGGTCACTGGACACCAAGCGGCTCCACCACTCCATCTTATTGATATTCTCAAGATGCAGAGTCACCACCTTGCCGTCCTCAATGAGCCATGAGCTCTCCTCCACCTTCACTTCGTTGTAGAGCTCCCCATCGATGATCGCTGGCTGCTCCTTGAGCCCCACCCGGAGGTGCCACCACTGGATGTCCACCACCACGTCCTTCCCTTTCACCCAGAAGTTCACGTGGAAAGGGACCGCCAGGTCCAGCTCCGACAGGGTCTGGGTCCAGCGGTAATTGGGCAGGTCTGCCCCGTTGCCTAGGTTGGGCTTCAGTTTTCCTTTGTCCTTCTCATCTTCCTCCTCTTCGTCTTTCTCAGTCTCCTGCTTCCCTGGGGAGTTAAGGTTGCCGTTCTTGAGCTGGGCCTCATGATTCTCTGTATCCTTTTTCTGGTCAGTCTCTAGCTGCAGCTTCTCTGCCTCTTCATCAGTTAGCTCCTTGATCTGGGGCCCTGAGGCCTCTGACTTGGCTTCTTTGGCCAGCCTGGCCACCCGCTCCACCTTCTCCCGCCGCTCAGCCTCCTGCCGGGCTCTCTTCTCCCACTGGGCCTTCTGTGCCAGCTGATTGTTGTTGCTGAAAATCTGTATGATAAGCTTCTCTGCCATCCCTTCTTCTCCTCCAATGAAAAAGTCTGTTTTGCGTCGAAGCAAGCTGAAGAAGGTGTTCACAAGCTCCTGCACGCCACCCTCGTGCTGCTGAGCCATGGCCAGCAACATGCCCTCGAACTGCTCCTGCTCCTGCTCTCCGCCCATCACGCCACCTGGGATGCACGTCCCAAGCTCTGCGCTCTAGTCCTGCGCTCTCTCCGCTACTTCGAGTTGCGCTGGGCACAACGACTCTAGTCTAAATCAGTCCATATCTCTAAAAGGTACCCAAGAATTCAGAGTTAAAAATCTAAGTATCTGAAGACCAAGTATCTCCCTCTGCCATCAACTGAATGTGTCTCCTCAAAATTCATAGGTCGAAACCTAACCCCCAAATGTAATGGTTTTAGGAGATGGGGCTCTTGGGAGGTGATTAGATAATGAAGGTGGGGCCCTCGTAAATGGGATTAGTGCCCCTAAAACAGAGGTCCCAGAGAGCTTACTTATCCTTTCTGCCATGTGAAGATACAGCGAAAGGATGGCTGTCTCTGAACTGGAGGCAGGTCCTCCCCTCAAACACTGAATCTGCTGATGCCTTGATCTTGGACTTCCCAGTCTCCAGAACCATGAGAAAAAAAGTTTCTGTTTTTTAGAAGCTACCTAATTTATAGTATTCTGTTACTGTACAGCAGCCCAAATGTACTAAGACACCATAAGACACTGTGTGGGCCTTTATAGAAAAAAATGCTCCCTTCATTTGCAGCATCCTCCCTGTTAAGTCTGAATTGAAAAACAATGTTTAGACTTTAATCAAAAAGAAGCCAAGAACATTAATACTTTTACTCATGACTCCGTTTCTCTGGTATTTATTGCCACATTCTGTAGCCACCTTAAATTTTATATTTTTAATAATCATTGTTTTTAGTGAGGACTGAGGTGACTGTTTTCATTTAAATAGTCATGAGTTCTATAAACAAAAAGTAGACAGGCATAGACATCCACAGATGCGACTTCAGTAATTTTTAATCACTGGTTCTAATGTCACTGTAGTTGACGAATTTCTCTTAAAAAGAGACACTAACTTCTTTTTGAAAACTTGTGCACAAACTATCAATCAGAAGGTCCTGCAATGGTATTAGAAAATCACCAATTAAAAGAAGAATCTGTGGGCACTTGAATAATTAAGCTGTGATTAGAGATAGACGTCTAATTTAGGCAGAATATGGTTGATATGGTTTGGCTGTGTCCCCACCCAAATCTCATCTTGAATTGTAGTTCCCATAATCCCCACATGTCATGGGAGGGACTCGGTAAAAGGTAATTGAATCATGGGGGCAGTTAGGCTCATGCTTTTCTCAAGACAGTGAGTTCTCACGAGATCTGATGGTTTTGTAAGGGGCTTTTCTCCCACTCCGCTCATACTTCTCCTTGCTGCCGCCATATGAAGAAGGACGTGTTTGCTTTCCCTTCCACCATGATTGCAAATTTCCTGAGGCCTCCCCAGCCATGCCAACTGTGAGTCAAACCTCTTTACTTTATAAATACCCAGTCTAAAGTATGTCTTTATTAGCAGTGTGAGAACAGACTAATACAATGGTAAAGATAACACTTCTTTGATTGCTTATCTTGAGTCATTTAAACTGATCGTTAGTACACAAGTATTTTCCTCCTCTGTGAGAGCTAACTTCAATTATGTCTTTTCAGATCTAAACTACATTACCAGGAAGTACAAAATAAACACAGCAAGAATTTCTAAGAATCTTTGTCATCTAAGAACAGGTGATAAAGAAGAATCTTCCTAATTCTTATTATAATAGCCTAATTATCAGCAGGACAATGAAGCCTTTCAACAAAGGACAGAAAAAACTGCTGAAAGAAAATGTGCAGCCAAGCACAGTGGACCACACCTGTAATCCCAGTGCTTCGGTAGGTCGAGTCAGAAGGATTGTGTGAGCCCAGGAGATCAAGACCAGCCTGGGCAACATAGTGAGACCCCGCTTCTACAAAAAAAATTTTTTTTTTTTTTTTAAATTAGCCAGGTATGATGAAACATGCCTCTAGTCCTAGCTACTCAGGAGGCTGAGGCAGGAGGATGGCTTGAGTCCAAAAGTTTAAGGCTGCAGTGAGCTATCATTGTACTACTGCACTCTGGCCCATATGACAGAGAGAGACCCCAACTCCAATTCCCACCAAAAAAAAACACACACACACACATACACACACATTTAAAAAACCACCAGACATGGAGTTCAAATTCAAATATAGAAATGAACCGAACCTCAGTTACTGAATGAAGTATAATAAGTCACAATTTTCCCCTTGATAAGTCATAATTATTTTATAACTTTTGCATTTCATATATTTTTAGAAAAAAAATTAAATTTGTTTTGTGACTGATAGTTCTTAATTACAACATATTAGGCTTAATCTAATCACACTCAGTACTCAACAAGTCAGCAAGCAATTAAATCTAACTAACATTTATCAAAGGCCTACTACAAAGCAAGGCTCTGGGCTGGTGTCTGTCATTAAGCAAAGCATCTGTCTACTGTGGAAACAGGCTAGCCACCCGTCCAATAGGGATAACACAAAATTATCATTATCAGCCACAGTGTGGTCTGTTAAACTAAAACTTTACTGGGAGGTTGGCAACAGCACACTATAGATAACAGCTTGGGCTTTGGTTTTTAACCCAGATCTTCTACAGTATTTATATACTGTGATTGCCTACAAAGCAATGAAGAGCTCATTCCTACTTTCCAGGAACGGTTTAACCCCAAGACAAGCCACACTTTTTCATGAAATATCTATGAGCCAGTCCTCCCTCATGACCCTTTTCTTTTAAATCATCATTCCTCAAGATTCTTGGAGGAATGGTGAGGGGGGAGGGGAATCTGGGAAGAAACAACAGCAAACTTTGCCCAGGGGAGTCTCCTAGACTCCTAAAGCAACAAAGGTTTTCTCTACCTTTGTTGAGAGAAATTAAAAACATTTTGAAAGCAGAATCTACTTCTTCCGGCATCACTACTTAACATATTTAATAAGACTATGGTGAATAACACATAAATGGGGAGGGGGGATGCCAAAAGACAGCAATAACTTGTTTCTGAGTTTATCCAGGTCAATGAAAAACACCTCTGTGTAAGAAAGCTCCAGGCTTCAAAGCAGTAACATCAAATCAGACAGACAATGAACTGCTGAAAAAGTAGGGTCATGAAAGTCCTAGAGGGAAAACGGATAGACACATATAAGGTGAAAAGCATGAAAATCAAAGTCAAATAACAAGCAAAGAAAGCCGCTAATGAAAAAGTGGTAAGCTAAAGCCTAGAGTTTGTTGAATGAGTTAATGAATGGATGGTCAAACAATTTACCACAGGCACTGACTCCTCCAAGTGAAGAGATAATTAAAATCACATAACTTATTAACCGCTATGGTAAAACATTCTCAGGGAGATGATGACAACACAAGTGGCAACAGCAGAGATTCCCTTAAAAAAATCAGGGTCTTTGTAAGAGCTTTACATTGAATGAGGTCTGGACCACACTCCCACTTACAGATAAGGAATCCAAGTGTGCACCCAGGATTACAGTGAAAGGATAAGACTCTGTACTTTGTAATTCTCCCCTTTCACTGAGAGGACTGGGGATTGCATTCTACAATAGCCCCCTTGATGGTGCTGGGAATAAATCTCAGCAGGGTATGCTAGGAGAAAGACAAGCTCATTTTCTCATTTGCCCAAAACTAACCTATATTCTCTTGTCACCAACTATGGAACCTTTCCTGATACTCTTATTTTTAAAGCTCCCAAGAAAGACAGGGAACCTGATGCCAAAGCACAGATGTTGTCTGCAGGACTGAGTATATTCCACTTAGACTTAGGAAGCAGACAGCATATCCAGGAGAGGTGAGAGAAAGATAAATCGAGGCACTGCTGACAGCCTTTCGTTACAATTTGGCAGCCAACCTGCTCAAGCATTTTCACATGGGTAAGTTGATCATCTGAAAAAAATCCACGGCATAAGAACATAATTTAGGCCTTCAGAGCAAACATTTTGATAGTTCTCATAAGTCATTTAAATAAAAGCTTCATGAACAAACCACAAAGCATGTGACTAAAACCCCAATTAATAGTAAAAAGCAATACACACTGACAGATTTCTGTGGCGAACTTTTGCTGAGACCAAATTAGTTGAATGCAACTTTGCCCCTCAAGCAGATATACTTTTGCCTTATCCTACCTTTTCTCAGCCAAGATTTCCCCAGCTCCCTAATTCAAACTCACCAGGACCAGTGAGCATTATATGACCATCTGGTCGACAACATATTACACACTCATAGGGCATGGTTCTAATCACATCACAGTTTAAACCACCACCATAGATCTCAGCAAGGTGCTCCTAAATGGAAGAATTTTATATTTTGCCTTTCAAATTGTTTTTATTGGAAGCATATTTGTGAGAATACTAAGACGTAAAAGGCCTCTGAGCCTGAGCTCATTTTCCCATCCCCAGCCTCCCTCCCTACAAACTGTCTTCTATGAATGGGATTCTATTTCATCTTTACTCTCTGTAAGAGAATGTACCTGCCAACCGATGTCAAGAACAAATCACTTCATCTCCAGTTTCGATGCTGCTGCATTCTTGGGCACTTGTGTGCTTTTAGCACCAAAAAGAGTTGCTTCATGGTTCAAGGGTCACTGTTAACTCTTTCAACAAATAGGCATTAACAGAATACAGGAGCAATCCCACACTTTGTGGGGCAGGTGTCTCCCTGGAGCCTCTGGATTAAAATTCTCATTGCTAAAGTCACCAAGGAGTTAGACAAAGATAGGGAGCACGCCCTCGGAGTTTCCTGCTAAAAAAGAATTCTTCCTCTAATACATTTATGGATATTAGCTACACTAACATGGGTTAGTTTACTAGGTTAGTTGATAACTGTGTTAGGATGAGGAGACAAAATGTCACTGAAGAAACAAGAAACCAAATCTAGAGTGTAGCTATTTTTTCTTACTTTAATGAAGCAGCAGAGGGTTTGAAAAAGAGATTTTAGAAAGGTGTGCAGGCTCTAGACCAGGGAAGGCCAATCTTAGTTGAAAATATAATGGCCCCCACCAGAAGCCCTTGCATTCCAAAATTCAGATACAAGCTTCCTAAATCCCAAGATGCCCCAGGATGAAAGAGCACTCAAGGGACCCAGGCAGGCTGCCTCCACTGAACCGAGGAGAAACTAGTCACCTTTCAGCAGGATGTTTGAAGGATGCTCTTTCACTCAGGAAGCCTGAGGGAAGGCTTTGCTTCTGTCCTGGGAAACTGGTCACTGACCAAAGGACTCTCCTGCCCTCTCACTAACGTCAGCCATCAAATGGACCATACCTCCCCACCAGCTGAGTTCGACCCACAGTCATTCCATGGCCTGGCCCCTATCCTGGCCAGCAATACTGATGTCTACACCCCAATGCCCAAGCCCTACCTCAACATCCCAAACTTCTGCTGGACCACAGGGGCTGGTAATGCAGACTCTAGAGTGAGGACAAGTCATGATAAAAATAAATTCAGGAAAATGTGTAAGTACCACCTTAAGTAATAAAGAGAAAATGGACTTTGGAGTCAGCCAATCCTTGGTTCCAACCAGAGTACTGCCACTATCACAAAACTTTGAGCAAATTATTTTACTCCTCAGAATCAGTTTCCTCACCTGGAAAATAAAGATAAAATGCCTACTTTGCAGAGCTGCTATGAAAATTTAAAAAGATTAATACACACAAAGTAAGCATTCAGAAAAACAGAAATCAATACCCTATTTTGTTATTATATGAAAGGGTAATTCCAAATGCATGTGAGGCAAGAGTGAGATTTTTACTAGACATAGTTCCTACAGTACAACTCTAGAAATGTAAGGGATGAGATCTGTATAACATATGGTAGCTACCCAGATGTAGAAAAATATGCACACACAGTTTTACAAATTCCTGGTTTATGATGTCAAAATTCTCTAAATAAAACAGATGCTATTGATCAAACTGACAATGACTTCTGCTCATTTCTCCACCATAAATAACACCCTTAAAGATTAAATAAATGCCTTAACTTATTTTCTCTAAGTTTGGGGATGGCTAGGATTTCCTCAATGGCTTTCTTTGGTTTCCAAGGTTAACTGTTGTGGTAATCTTCAAAGAGCACCAAGTTTGCTATAACCATTCTGGATATATAACAGTAAGACATTATTATAATTATACCATTATTAATAGCAGCTATCTTTTATGAAATATTTTTTGTTTTTTTGTTTTGAGACAGGGTCTTATTATATTGCCCAGGC